CCGGTTCTCCAGAACCTGTCAGAACCTGCTGGATTTCACCCCTGGGCGTAACACAGCTGAGGTGTGACAATCCACTGTGCCACGCGAATCACCTGAGAAGATATAGATGAGTAAAGTGCAGAGGTGGGTGGGCGGGCCCAGCTGATAATTGGAGCGAACCGGTTTGCTCCCAGCTGATCGTTGGAGCTACATGTTCGCCCGAACCGGTCCAAACCAGTAGAATCCCACCTCTAGAAATGCCATATGTCAATAATATCGACAGGGTGGGTGAATGGATTGACACAAAATATAGTTTCTTGTTTAAGCCTCTTCTTCTGGGCAGAATCTGAACCACAGCACCTCAATTAAAGCTGTTGTAAAGCTCTTGTTTAAATAATATTACGAAGAAGGATCCCTTTGGTGTTTCAAAGCATCCTTACGGTACTACTGAATGGCCCTCCATCCTAGGAAGTCTCTTCTTGGCTCCAAATCTGTTTTCCGCTTAATCTGCTTTTCTAAAGTTGGCATCCATTGATTCCAGCACTGTCCCCTGGAGCAGTTAAGAATAAGGTGTTGTTGTTGTCTTTTTTATCTTCTGCATGACAACCCCTTAGATTTCAAAATAACTATCAATTTATTTTTGCTTTTTTTTTTTTGCTATTGTTCTGCCTTTGGTTTTATTGTGCTTGTTTATTTATCAGATTGCTATCCTGCCTTATTGCTGATGGCCTCAAGGCAACACCGCAATAACAAGATCAAAACAAAATATAGACCTCCATAGCAACTACTATTTTACCTTGAAAATAGCAGAGCAAAACAAACAAGCAAACAAACATATGAGACCAGCTGGTAAAAAAAAAACAAAAAAACAGTGAAGGCATCACTAAATTGCAAAAAGGTAATTTAAAGAGTCTTGGGCATCACTAAAAATCATAAATGCATTGGAGAACAGGATTGTCATTGCCTAGAGCATAAGGACTCATAAAAAATATAGTAGGCATGTAGGTCTAGGGAGAATTTTCAATATCTGAGAGCCACCACTGGAAAGTTCTTTTACCTGCCAATTGACAAAAGATCTAGTGGAAAGCTAGATTTACAGATTTACATTACAGTATATTTTTCATATCACATTGTACGAGCAAGAGGAAATGTGTTAAGGGTTCCATTCAAGATGTTTGTCTTGAGGTTGTGATTGGATTAGGGACTGATTATCTGATGGACTCATGAACTGGATTTTTTGATCTGCAAGAGAGGTTCTTCTGAAGATGCCCTTCTGCAGAATTCAATTTGTAAGATACAGGAAAATGAGTTAAATAAATAAATAAGGTTCATTTACGTTAGAAAATTCTGGGAAGTAGAATGTCCATTTCTAACTGATGCTCGGGATACTCCAGTGCATGGAACTATTCTAGCTGCAATGTTTCTTGCTAGGAGTTATGTCAATCAAGGTTCAAAGACCCCAAAGTTATGGTCCAACTTTCAGAGCCATACATTGCAACTGGGAAAACCATAGCCTTGACTATACACACTTTTGTTAGAAGGGTGATGTCTCTGCTTTTTAGTAAACTGTCTAGATTTACCATAGCTTTCCTCCCCAGGAGCAAGCGTCTTTTAATTTCTTGGCTGCAGTCCCCATCTGCGGTGATCTTGGAGCCCAGGAAAATAAAATCTGTCACTACCTCCATTTCTTCCCCATTGATTTGCCAGGAATTCAGAGAGCCGGATGCCATGATCTTAGTTTTCTTTAATGTTGAGTTTCAAGCCAACTTTTGCACTCTCCTTCTTCACCCGCATCAAGAGGCTCTTTAGTTCCTCTTCACTTTTTGCCGTTAGAGTGGTATTATCTGCATATCTGAGATTGTTGATATTTCTCCCGGCAATCTTAAGACATTCTTACCTGAGCACAAAAAAATATTTGCTTATTGATTTTAGACTTTGCCATTTAAAATAATGAATGAATCATCTTTTTTTCTTTTTAAATGTCTGCATGACATTTTTTTAAAAAAATACTTGCGCTACCAGAGCAAAACAACGAAACAAATCAGTGCCTTTGATCGGATAAATTCTTGTTGTCTGCCCTGTTATAAATCTGGACTGAAGCTTTAATTGATGCAGAACATTGGGGCTAAATAAAATATAATGAAAACATTGATAGGGCTGGTTAGGCAGAGGTTATTTGCATTCCTTCTAAAATATTAATTGACCTGGCAGGAGGCCTGGCAAAATTTGAGAAGAGGGAGAGAGATAAAGAGTGGGGAAAAAAATGAGTTTTGAAATGTTCAGTGGCAGATGTGGCTATAAGAGATAGCTTCTATTGGAAAAACTATGTGAATTTTCTCCTTGCATGACATGCTAATCAATGACTTCAAAAAGCTGGCTTCTTCATAACACTAAAAGTTCTCAGTCTCCTGGGACAAATATATATCTAATGAAGACGTATTAGGGCACTCTATACTAAAAAAAAGGGGGCATTTTAGTATAATATAGAGAAATATATATTAATTGTGACAGATTTTATGCTGGGATTTTAGCCTCTGAATATAGCAGAGATTGGTTCTCACATTATCTGGAGCAAGAAAAGTCACTTGGTGCCCTCTAGATGTTTTGGATTACAATTCCTTATAAACCTCTGATTTGGTCAATCATTCAATCAATCAACTTTATTACATTTATTTAGTAATTGAAAAAAAGAAAAAAAAAACACAGAGAAAGTCCGAGGCAGCAAGTTTAGCAAATTAGCAACATCTAATCTTTACGTCTAGCTATTACTTTTAGTATATTATGTTATTTCCTAAAAAGTCTTCTTGAACTGACGCAAATGCTTTAGGTTGCTTTTACAGAAGCAGTAGATCTTGGATAACATATGAGACAGGATCTGCTTTATATTTTTCAAAACAACTGACCAGTTCCTTCTTAATCTCCTGAAATTTGTGAACAAACCAGGGGTGGGGGAGATATGAAGTGACATTATTTGTACTTTCACACTTACTGTGTTTTCCCAAAAATAAGACCTCCCCCGAAAATAAGACCTCCCTGAAAATAAGACTTCCCCTGAAAATAAGCCCTCCCCAAAAATAAGCCCTCCCCAAAAATAAGCCCTCTCCAAAAATATTTAATCACATACGCAGCTGGTCCCCGGCATTTCCTCTGATTAGGGTTAGGGAGACAGAGCTGGAAATCTGGTAAGACAGCAAGAGAAGCCCCATCTTGCTCCACGTGACCCAAAATAATAAGACATCCCCCAAAATAAGGCCAAGCACTTATTTTGGGGTCCAAAAATGTATAAGACAGGGACTTATTTTTGGGAAAACATGGTACTTAGTAAGGAAAGTGCTGACTGATCAGATGCTGGGAATTGTGGTCAGCCAGCAGCCTGTGGAGCTGGCAGCAGAGTTGGACAGTGAGGAGGCTGGTCCAGTCCTGGAGTCTGGGGAAGGCTCAGATGAGAGCTCTGCTTCAGAGGCAGAGATGGGGCCAGGGCCATCTGGGAGTTATGCGCTGACTCCGGAGCCTCCAGAGTCGGATATCAGAAAGGCAGAGGAACAGGGGAAGCCTGTTCCTAGTGCGCGCATGCGCAGAGCTGCCAGAAGGCAAGAACAGTTAAAACAAAAGGGACGACTCAGGAGTAAAACTTGGAGATGATTGGCCCCTCTGAGAAGACATAAAGGAAGAGTAAAGGCACATGGGCCTTTGCAGGAAGCAACGTTGTAGATGGTGTCAGTTAGTACTTTGAAGCTCTGTTTTTGACTCTGTGTTTCTGTGTGACCTTGCCAAGATAATTGCCAATTAGGTCTTTGGCAGCGTGTCAAAGAAGATCAAGGCGGGTGTTTACCAGCCTTATCCGAAGGTTAACTACCACTGGACTATATAGTCTAGTCATATAATCTTTAAAATGAGGAATTTTTTAAAAAAGAAACAACATTCTGGCAAATTTCAGCAAGCAAGCAAGAAAGCGAGGGAGAGAAGGAAGGAGAGAAGGAAGGAAACAGGAAGGCACCAGAATTGGATTACAGATTTCAATAACCCATTTCCACAAATCTATTTTGGAATAGATCACTAATGTTTTTGGCTTCTAGTTAGCGGCTGATGGATCATCCAATCCTTTTATATATTTATTAGATGTATTTTTCCCCCAAATGTGATGTATTAATTTTGAATGGGAGCAAGATCTATTCCAACTCTGAAAATACTCAGCCAAACACATGTTATTACTGCAGATACCTGTGAACAAATTTGACTGGCAAAATATTTTGGCATGTTCTGATGTTACAGCTGCTCTACTTATTGATTTTATAACAGCTCTGTTATTAGGTGGTTTACAGGGTCTCTGGTTGACAGTTCATTTCTTGTAATTATTTATTCATGGTATCTTCACCCATCCACCACACCGCTCTTCCAGTTTTTGACAAATCGTTTAATTATCTTATCATTATTATTATTATTGACAATTCCTTAAATAAAAGGGAAATTTGTTTACATTAGAAAATTCTGGGAAGCATAATACCGTGTTTCCCCGAAAATAAGACCCTGTCTTATATTTTTTTGAACCCTGAAATAAGCACTTGGCCTTATTGCCATGCGCTCAAAAGCCCGATTGGGCTTATTATCAGGGGATGTCTTATTTTGGGGGAAACAGGGTAAATGTCCATTTCTAATTGATGCTTGGGATACTCCAGTGCATGGACCTATTCTAGCTGTAATGTTTCTTGCTAGGAGTTATGTCAACCAAGGTTCAAAGATCCCCCAGTTAAAATGTCTATATCATTGTAACACTACCCTGTCTTTTTTTCCTATAAAATATTGCCAGGCATGAAAAAAAGCAACAACAAACAGATCTACATGGGAAGGTCCAATTAAACTGTTTTATTGCTAAGCAGCCTATGCACAGGAATCTTCTCAACTAACAGTTAGTCTCTTCTAGGAGCTAGATAAGGGTCCACAGAATTCAAGAGAGATTGGACCTAGTCCACTTGTGACTATGTACGGATTCTAGGCTGATTCCTCTTTTAACTCCACCCTAGGTTCTACCACTCCTTCTCCTACAAACATTTAAGTCGGGTTGCACATTAGAAGGAGACCTCTTTGAGCATCTGCAGAAGGGTGAGTTTTAATTTCAATCAACTTCCCACTTCTCAAAGAATAGAAAATATTGTTGCAATTCTTATGTGGGAGTGAGTGGCAATGATCTTACTTATCAGGAGATCCAGAGGTGGTGCAGTGGTTAGAGTGCAGTACTGCAGGCTTCTTCTGCTGATTGCCGGCTACCTGCAATTTGGCAGTTTGAATCTCCCTTCCTTCCTTCCTTCCTTCCTTCCTTCCTTCCTTCCTTCCTTCCTCCCTCCCTCCCTCCTTCCCTTCCCTTCCCTTCCCTTCCCTTCCCTATCCATCTATCCATCCATTCATCATTCCCCCAGCTCAAGGTTGACTCAGCCTTCCATCCTTCAGAGGTGGGTAAAATGAAAATGCAGATTGTTGGGAGCAATATGCTGACTCTGTAAACCGCTTAGAGAGGGCTGTAAAAGCACTGTGAAGCAGTATATAAGTCTAAGTGCTATTGCTATCCTTAGTTGTTATGTCTCGTGTCTTCCTTTAGTTTCATTTCCCCACTGATCTGCAGCATCCTTGGCTTTGTCTAATTAAATTAAACCTAGGGATCTGAATCTAATAATAGCCTATAAGTATCTGGAATCTTTGAGATAATGCAAGAAAGCCTGAAGCAAATATTGTAATAATTCTGCAATTATTAAAGGGTTAGGAGCTCTGTTGGAAACTTCAGTTCAACATAAACTACAATACCTCCCCCCCCCCCAAAAAAATGTAGCATCACTTTTGCCTAGTTAAAGATGTTTAAAGTTCCCTCCCACTTACTCATGGAGGAGGTTTCCATGAAAGACTGGAGATTACTCCACTGAGTGTTCACCGATAAATCCTATGTTATTTTAAAATTATTTCCCCCTGTTATTTACATCAATTCCCACAGATGGCCCGCCTAAATTCCTCTTCCTAATACTTAAAAGTCTATAATGCTAGTGGCTTTACTGTATTACAGCTTTTAAGTTGATGAATGTTTCTTTAGCATTTTGGAGGAATTGCTTAAAATGTATAATCCTGCTAGAAATTTCTGTCCTTTCACCAGAGGGACATATCATTAAGTCTTGAAATGTCCTGTTCAAAAAAGAAAACGGGAGGGGGGGGGAGGTGACTTATTTTGGGATCCAGACAGAAGGAAGCCGAGTGCTGCCTGTCACACCCTCTGGCCACGCCCACCCTGGCCACGCCCACCCAGCCATTCATTAGGGCAGAGAACCGGTCGTTAAATTATTTGAATCCCACCACTGATGTGCTCCCTGTTTATATATCTTTTATAAACTAGTTTAAATGCTTTATATAAACTTTTATAAACTTTGTAAGATTTACCTACCTGAATGGCATTTACGTAGATAAAATTACTAGGCATCTTTAAAAACCAGCAGATTATATTTCTGTTTCTTGAAGAATGTTTTTTATTTTCCCCCAGTTCATTTCTAGGAATGAAAATGAGGATTGTTTTTCTTTTTAAGGTTTGCATTTAAATGTGTATATTTCTCCTTTTTTTTTTTTCCTTTTTGGTTGTTTTGTCTTTGTTTTGAGCTAAAGACGAACCGCAGTTCAGTCACGCCTGAGATTTTTTATTTCCTCAAATGCTAGTCTTCATTTAAATAATGGTAAATAGTGATGAAAATCGCATTCAAAAATTGGTTGTGGGGTGGGGGGAAGCCGGGATGCTTGCACATTTGAATATTGCTTTTTTTAAAAAAAAAAAGTCTGGAACCTATCTGGAAAAGGGATCAATTTGAGATGGAAATGTTTAAAAAACAGAAAGTGAAGGTGACAGATTGCCCTTCATTATCGGAGAGGCTTTCTATAACGAGCGAGTTTGTCATGTATAATCAGAAAAATATAGCAACAGATCATGGGACAGAATTGCCAGTATGTGCTGCATAATGCATATCTTAAAGTGAGTTGTGTACATTTTTGTGGACTTTTTTTTTTTTTTTGCCTTGCTCTCTCATCTCTTTCCACTGCGGGTTTCTCTCTTGTTGTTTTTTTTTCCTCTTGTCTGCAAAATATGAACTGTACCTTTTCCCGCCCAGCGAGGCCTGTCTGTTAGAAGTGATTACATGAGTAAACTTCTCTGTGGTGTATTTAATAATGATGTGTCTGATTCTCCTTGCAATTCACGGGAATGATTTCTGTCCCGAGTTAAGCTCCTTAAAATTTACATCTCTCTTTTTTTTCCTCACAAAGTGTCAGCGATGGGTGAGCTTTTCCAGCTAGGCACGTCGTGCCTTGCTAAATTAAATTTTGCTTTTCAGCGTGAAGTTAATTGGCGCTTACTGACACTAAAGACCAATTACGGTCGTGATTCCTGTTGTGGTGTTAGTTTCTTATCAGGCTTCCAGAGAGGAAGGGAATTTGCAATTCTTTTTGCAACTGGCATAGCCCATTTCGACAGCCTTCTCGGTTAGAACTGCACTTAAACAGGGAGGAGGAAGAGGAGGAAGGGTGGAAGGAGAAAAAGAGGAGGAGGAAGGGGGAAAAGGGGAGGAGGGGGAAAAGGAGAAAAAAGGGAGGAGGAGGAGGAAGGGGAAGAGAGAAGAAGAAGGAGAAAGGAGGAGGAGGAGAGGAAGGGAAGGAGGAGCAGAAAGGGGAAAGGAGAAGAAAGGAGAAAGGAGGAGGAGGAGGAAGGAGAAAGGAGGAGGAGGAAGGGAGAAGGAGAAGCAGAAAAGGGGAAAGGAGAAGAAAGGAGAAAGGAGGAGGAAGAGAAAGGAGAAAGGAGGAGGAGAAGGAGGAGGAAGATGAGGAGGAGATGGGTGGAGAAGAAGATCAATTAAGAAGGTGAAGATGGAGAAAGGGGAGGAGGAAGAGGAGGAAGGGTGGAAGGGAGAAAAAGGAGGAGGAGGAAGGGAAGGGAGGAGGAGGAGGAAGGGGGAAGAGAGAAGAAGAAGGAGAAAGGAGGAGGAGGAGGAGGAAGGGAGAAGGAGGAGCAGAAAAGGGGAAAGGAGAAGAAAGGAGAAAGGAGGAGGAGGAGGAAGGAGAAAGGAGGAGGAGGAAGGGAGAAGGAGAAGCAGAAAAGGGAAAGGAGAAGAAAGGAGAAAGGAGGAGGAAGAGAAAGGAGAAAGGAGGAGGAGAAGGAAGAGGAAGATGAGGAGGAGATGGGTGGAGAAGAAGATCAATTAAGAAGGTGAAGATGGAGGAAGGGGAGGAGGAAGGGTGGAAGGGAGAAAAAGAAGGAGGAGGAAGGAAACGGAGGAGGAGGAATAGGAAGGGGGAAGAGAGATGAAGGAGGAGAAAGGAGGAGGAGGAAAGGAAGGGAGAAGGAGGAGCAGAAAAGGGGAAATGAGAAGAAAGAAGAAACAAGGAGGAGGAGGAGGAGGATGACTGTGGCATTTTTCTTATAAATTGCATCTCTGCCCCTGTTGTTAGCTTGGTCACCTCAAATTAGCATTCCAATCCAAAATAAAGGAAATGAGACAGTTAAGTGTCTCTGTACCAGTGATAAACAATAATGATGTATATGACCTCTTGTAGACCTACTCTTGGGAATGGTTAGACACTTGTCATTACTGTAATTTGCTGACTAAGTACCAATATAATATTTAGAAGGGAGTTAATTTGTACTGTCACATCAGAGATGTGCACGTGGATGGAATGCTCAATTGGTCGCCACTGACAAATGTAGTGGAAACTCTGTTTGCCTGGAGCTCACGGCCCCATCTCAGATTCTTTAGAATAGAATAACAGAGTTGGAAGGGACCTTGGAGGTCTTCTAGTCCAACCTGCTGCCTAGGCAGGAAACTCTACACCACTTCAGACAAATAGTTATCCAACATCTTCTTAAAAACTTCCAGTGTTGGAGCATTCCCAACTTCTGGAGGCAAGTTGTTCCACTGGTTAATTGTTCTCACTGTCAGGAAATTTCTCCTTAGTTCTAGGTTGCTTCTCTCCTTGATTAGTTTCCACCCATTGCTTCTTGTCCTGCCGTTTCATTACCAAACTAGATAAAGCCATCAGTGTAGCATCATCAGTGCACTGATGATGTTACCAACTTTGGTAATGAAACGTCTGACAGAAAACCAAAAGGCTCAGGTAGCACCAGGGATCCCATAAACTACAGATAGGAATGAAAAGCTGGATTCAAATATTCATTTCAAACACACACACACACACACACACATACACACACGCATACACATACAAGTTCTTGCAAGTTACACTTACAAGTTCAGTGTAGTTTGATTTCTTTTCAGTGTATTTATCCTGAACGATATAGATGAATGCATTGAAGTAACTTCTCATATTAAAGCATGAAAGCTGGGCATTTGAAGAGAGTGTGACTGTTCTTCTAATCTTTCAAATGTTATAAGAATATGGTTATCAGACAGATTTAGGAGGTTTCAGGAAGTTTTGGAAGAAATATTATGAAACAAAAAACAAACAAACAAAAAAACAACAACATATGTTTCTCTAAGTCAGATGTCTATGGAGATTTGCAGTCATCTAGGTCATGGTTGTCCCAAATGTGCTTTTTCAAAAGGCAACTGGACTTTCTTGTTGTTGTTTTTTTCCCTTGAAGATGTTTTGCTTCTCATCCAAGAAGCTTCTTCAGTTCAGTTCAGTTGCAGAACTGGAATGGATGATGTTCTGATTTAGGCTTCCTTAGAAAGTATAAAGCACAATCTTAATCCCACAAAAACCTCTTTTATTTATACAACTGTAAATTGCTTTCATTTACAGTCCCCAAGGCTTGATAAACAGTCTTTCAGAGGAAGGTTATCAACACTCACCTATCTAGCGTGGAACGCTGCCAGAGAGCTAATTTCCAGATGCAGGGCAAGGCCAAACTTGGCACAGAGTCACAAACAAAATTTTGAAATCTTGAATCAGCCAGATGAACTAATTGCTTCCTGCAAAAGCTCACGTCCCGTTCGCTTCTCTTTTATGTCTTATGAGAGGGGCCAATCATCTCCAGGCCTTACTCCCAAGTCGACCCTGTTTCCTTAATTATTCCTGTCTCCTGGCAGCTCTGCACATGTGCACACTGGGAACAGGCTTCCGCT